CCATAAAACAAATTGATATGAAAATTGTCCAACATATGATGACGAGTATAAGAACAAAATTAAGAAAGATAGAAGATAAAGGACCATTTTCTATACTTTGAGTGTGTAATGGTGTAGGTTTATATCGTGTGCATTTTATGTAAAAAACTTACAAAATAAAAAATTATTGAACAGGAGAAATATAAGATATAATTTTGTGCGAAAATTTTTCGATCACCCATTATTAATTATTTGACATCTGAAAAGAGTTTTTGATGAATTTTTTTCCAAATAATCCAAATTAAATAACGTAGACAATATTTTATATCAATTGGATTCAATTGTTTTCGTAGTTCACTAAGAAAACGAATATAAGTAAGATATGATAAATGTTCATTGTGATTATAATTTAATTGTGTATTTAATAATTGATAAGTTGATTCAATATTCGATTGACATCGTTCATATAATTTAACTAAGGCACGACCATCGAATTGTTTTTCATTTTCAAATAAAAGTTTCACAAGTTCTAAATTTTTATCACGAAGAAAATTTAAAATATCTTCATGCGTCCAACATTCCATATATCGATAATTATAATCATTTTCATCGTTTGAAACTCTGTCCTATATATACATTTTAAACAAAGATATCATATTCATCTTTTGTAAATACTAAATAATTTTGAATGTTTACAAGAAAAATGTACGTTAATATTTTTTTTTTCGATCTTATTCAACATTTTGGCAAATATAAATATTGATAAGTAAATACTCATGGATATTACGACCTTTCTCAAAAAGTTCAATTTTCATCAGGAAATGGAACAATCAGTGTAAGTTTATATCAAAGTTTTTGTGATTCGCCTTCCTGATGTTTGCCAACGCTTAGCGTAGATGGAATCGGTCTAGCTTTTTTCAAACCGAACCGATCAGTGTACCGGTAATAAATGGGATACTAGTGATACGTCAGTCTATCAGTAAATGGTATGTTATCGCACACTAGCATAATGCTTCGCTATTGATAACAATAGTTTTATTGAGAGCATGGTCTAAACTATTTAATAAACTAATTTTTGCGTGAGCAGTGGGATTAGCCTTGATTTTTTTCTATGAATACAGTCATAGAATAGGAGAATAGAAAATTTAGACCGGTCAGACCGGTAACGATTTCATCTCTGGTGCTTAGATCATCCTAGAATCTAAAATATCTATTGTAGATTCTAATTAGTCTACATATTGTGAGTTATGGTATTTAATCCAGCTCATTGTAAATGAATCTAATACATTGGTGGAATAGTAATTCTAAATTCGAATATTTTCGAAATGATAAAATTTCAGAGCGCACGTATAAGCCACAGAAACTGTTTATATTCTTGATGCTACGCTGACAAATTTTTCCTTTTATTCTTTTCTGATCGTGCATTCTCGAAGAAGCTTCATTGTAACCAAGTGCTGTTTGGGTTGGCACATTAGCTATTTTTGACCTTTGTTTGTTGATGATGTCCTTTGACAAAGTGCTGAAAACTCAACTATATAGACTCTCTAATACATTTCAAACATATCCTAAAAATTTCATGTAATTCGAATGTACAGGACGTAAGATCGATTTTTGAGGACGAGGAAGGAGAGCTTAACTGTTTAATATATTGATCTATATCTAAAACAAAATTCTTACTTGTTCTTCAATTTGAAAGTTCTGCTCGATATTATTTGGATGAATTTCAATCTTTGGCTTAATTACATCGTCATGAATAAGTGGTTCGTTCTTTTCATATTTCATTATTGAAGATGATGAAACTGATGAAGTTTGTTGTCGATGAAATTGAATTTGTGAAATTAATTTTTGAAATGCTTGTTCAAAATCAGTTTTAGTAAAATCAACATAGAGTTTTGAAGCACATATAAATCCTAACCATCCATCAGGTCGATATTTTTTTTCCATAACTAATGGAATAATATGGCGTTGACGTGTATATGCATATTCAGCTTCTGATCGACAATAAGCACTTTGTTTATATGGATTTGACATACAAATAAGAATAATATCTGATGATTCAATAGCTTCTGCCATTGATTGAAGTGTACTTCCATACATATTTTCAAAATCAAGCCAAATAATATATTTTAAATTAATTAAATTTTGATAAATTTGATGACATAAATCTTTATTTGAATGACTATAACTTATCATAATATCATATTTTTTATTTGAAATATTATTTTCATGTAAATCAATAATTGTCTTTTTAAGATTAGATTCATTTTCTAATTTCCATAGAATTCCTTTTGTAGCTGCTTGAACACCTTCTTCTTTTGAATTAATAAGAATATTTTTTAAATAAATAAAAAAATTTTCATAATTATTTGTTAACATATGAAAAATTTGATTATTAAATGTTAATAACCAAATAATTTCTAATGATATTTGTAAAACTAAACCAATATGAAGATCTTTTTGTGTTACACATTTTATTAATAAACTAAAATAATTTTGTTTTACTATTTCTTCTTTTATTTCATCATGTTGAATAAATGCTAAATATATAAAAAATTTCATTTAATTGAAAATTATTAATAAAACATCGGTAGAATTCAACTGAGATTTGAACATCTACTATGCATTCATATCTAATTTTAAATTAATTAACCTCTTATGCACAATGGAAAATGTTTGTATACGTTCGATTTCAAATCAATTTCTCGATAGTTTGCTTATATCATTCAGCTAGCAATTCTAATAGATATGCAAATCATAGTGTACCGAAGCAAATACAAATTCTATTCCATCAAAACCATTTAGGGATCAATTTATTGAAGCTCTGTAGGATTGGAGTCTGTTTTAGAAAATGTTATTTGTACTTGTGTATTTTAGAAGATTCTATTAAATAGAGTTTAGAATCAAAAGTTTTCGAAATATTAGAGTAGATGAATCGTGACTCTGTATCTGTCGATAACGTTTCTTTAATCTATTGAATAGAAGCTTCATTTGTTATGAAACCTTAGTTTCGCATAAAACTTATGAATTTCATAGTCAAATCACTTAAAGATTCTATGTTCATGCTCAAAATTTATTGTAAACTCGTTGACGATTCTTGTCAAGAAAAAACATACCTTTTAAAGATGTTAATAAATGTTCAATAGGAACATCTTGAAAAGTATGACATGGATCATCCATAGCTCTAGATAAATAATCAATAAAAATCGATGTTAATTCATCAATATGATCTAGATTTAAAATATCTTGTTCATTAAGTATTTTTGATAAAATCATTAAAGCATGTAATTTAACACGATCAACTTGTGAATTTTTTAATTTAAGAAATATATCTTTTGAAAAAAATGAATTTTCTTTAATAATTGTTAACATATCAAAATCATGTGTTAAATTAAATATAAATGAAATAGCTGAATCAGTTAAATTTGTTTTTGAATTATAATCAGTTGTTATTAATATATTATCTAATAAACAATTTGAATTTAATATAATTAATATTGAATCAATTATTTTTAAATTTGTTTTTAAATATTCTCGTGTTGTAGAATAAAAAGCAACATAACGTAATAATGCTGTCATATAAAAAATTGATTCCATTAATGCATATTCCCAATCATCGATTGTTGGTAAAAATAAATCATATATTTCTTGATAAAATTTTAACATATTATTTGAACATAATGCATTTATTATTATTATTTGAGCTTGTCCTCTATTCCAAGCACAATAACATGGACATGTACCAAGTATAAAATCTTCAAATGCATTTCGATCAATTGATTTAATATGAATTTGTTTTAATGTATCAAAATAAATTGAAGAACAAAGACATTTTATTATAGGATCAACTAATAATAATACAATTGGATTATTTCGAATAAGATCATTACCAACTTGAAAATTTTGAATTGATTCTATCAATACACTTAAACTTTTCATATTTTCATTTTGATCTAAATATTTATGAGAATTTATAGATATATCTTCTAATACTGAAGCTATTGTTTTGAAAAATGATTCATTTAAAAACCATGTTTTAAAGGTTGATGATAAAACTTGATTTGTTTTTCTTAAATGTTTTATCATTCTAAAAAAAAGATCAACTATTTCTCGAAATAAATATTCATCTTTATCAGTTAAAATAATATTATCTTTAGACCATTTATTTAATATATTGATTAAGAAATTTTGTATTAGATTAAAAATTTCATTATTAATAATTATTTGATCGATTAAGATTGAACCATAAATATTTTTTAATGTATCAATTATTTTACAATAATCATCAATTGTTGAATTATTATTATTTAATTCAATAACAATCAAATCAAATAAAGGTTTAAGTTGTTCAGCTAATATTGTTGTTCTTTGATTAGTAATTCTTGTACAATATTCATTTATAGTTGAATCCATTTGTAAATTTATTTTAAATAAGAATTTTCTTAATAAAACAAAAGAAAAATTTTATTCATATGAAAATTAATCATAGAAATTCATGTGTTTTATTTCATAAATATAAATTCCTATCTTTATATACCTTTTGTAATCAAATTTTAAATGAAGAAAACGATATACTTGTTAGAAAGTAAAGAATAAACCTTGAAGACATGTGACAATTAAGTATTACCTATTTATTTATGTAGTATTTTTTTGATAATGACACGCTTCATCAATTCAAAAGTCAAATCAAATGATAGTTTAATATTCTCAGGAATGATTAACATATATGATTCATTGTCATTGATTAGCAATGCAATCATTTTATGTATGATTATATAGAGAAATATTTATATTGAATTTTGTGCAAAAAAATTCTTTTGTCACAAGAAGAAGCATTTTATTTAATACAGTACTATTAATAAATATGATTTTTCATTTATATACTTAATTGAAATTTGATAATATTAGATATTAAAGAAATATTAAGTATAGTAGTATCATTTTATTCCATAAGTTATAAAAAATATCTTTCAAAGTTGATCAATAATTATATATATATATATATCGCACTCTGTACATCTTAACAAGAACACAATGAGTGTCGAAAAAATCTACACTTGTTCTTCGTACGTGTAAGCAAGTCTCCATCGACATGAGTCTTACTTTCGTTCGATAGTTCATATTTTGTCATGATTGGCAACGCATCTCTAGCCGATGGCTCTTAAATCTTATTATTGATAGACGTATGCAACAGAAAGAAGTTGAACTTAAGGGGCACCTTATTTTTTGACCATTTCTGGTCCTAAGCGAGACTATAGGGTGTGAGTGTTGGTGTAGGTGCTCTCATCAACAACGTCTGCCAACACACTTAGATCCACACCCACACCCTCCTTCTTATCTGCCAAAACTGGAAAATTCAATGTCTCAGCTCATAATCCTCTCTATGTGCTCGAAGTATGGGCTCAACAGCGGCTAATCACTTCGGGTACTTCCGTCGTTAGTTTTGTGAATATTCTTTATCTTCGTACTTCCATTTAAAAAGTACTATCCAAATCAATCTATTGATGAGTGTATTGTTTTTTTGACTACTACAATAGGACATCTAACGATAAATGATATGAGAGAGTGCATTTAATTCTTTAAACGTTTGATGATGTGAAACTGTCAGAACCAATAATAAACAGTGCGTCACTGCTGATATCGACAGTATGGCAATACACACGTATACACTCATGTGGCATAAAAGCATTATGATGTTTTTCTCTTTCGCCACCAACACATACTCCCTTTACTTACCTTTATTTGACTTATTGTTCATATTTTGCATGGGAAGCAGAGGATATTCATACAAAACAACATCACCAAGTATACAAATTGTTTCGCTCGTTTTTAGCAATTGATTTGATCAAATCTTATTGTAACAAAAGTGAGGGGAAAATGTGGTAAACACTCTCTTTTTTCTCTTGCAATGTATGCTTGTTAAGTTTACTAGCTAGAAGTCTTTATTTCTGCCGTGAACTCGTTAGAATCTTTGTCGCGCATGTGCAATCCCGTGAAAGAGGCTCATTAAGCACAGATATAAAAATCTTCACAGTTTAATGATAAACTCACTTTAAAATGACGGAAGACCTCATAAAATCTTTAATTATTGTTAGGTTCAATAGATGTCACTATATGACGGTAACTCTACTTACTATTTGTTATTGGTTTTTCTTCTTCCTTCTTTAATATATTTTGTTTTGATCATCTTCTTGTGTCGTTTTGTTTTTCTTTTATGTTTCGAATATCTTTCTTCTGTTCATTCATCTTCTTTATTATTATATTCTTGGTTATTGGTTATTCTTGTGTTTTATTCTTTTCAAAATAAGACAATTTAAATACAACAACTTCTCACTGTCATTATATGTTGTGACGACAAAAAAAAAGTAGACATTTTATGTGAGCCCTTTAATTCCTTATCAGATTACAATCATTAGTTCTACAATACATCCCCAAACGAGAATCTCACAATTATCAATATCAAAAGCTAGAGGATGTGGGCGTGAGTATCAGTCTTCTCTTCTGTAAAACCCACATTTTCCAATAAGTTTTCGTCTGCTTGATCTCTTCGAATATTTTGTGCATTCACTTACTTTCGAAACTCTTGTCTATCTTCCTCAGTTAGTGCTATATTTCTATTTTAAAAATTACTCAATAGGACTGATCTCATACTATTAATTATATATCTAACTATCTTAAAAATAATTTCAAAAATATCTTTAATTTAGATAAGGACATCTGTTACAATTTACCTACATAGTTCCTAGGGTGCTTTTCAAAATGAAATTGTTATTTATTTTACATATTATGATTTATTAATTTTTCATTGAACATCCTAGCAAAATTTTCGATCTAGTGTTGTCCAATCTATAATCTAACTAGAATTATTTACGATGCAAGCTGACGAAGAAAATCTATCATGCCTAATTGAAGATGCAAAAGTAAAATTTAACCAATATGCTGAAACTCAAAAAGCCTTCCAAGCTCCACAAGCACAGATCCATATTGAAACAGAGTCGGATGAAACCACCAAAGTACATATGGAAATACAATATAAGGGAACACAGTATTCCTTTGAATCAATACAAGAGAAAGATATAAACGATATTTATTATTATTTAAACAGTCAACCTTTGGTAAGAGCAAAATTTGCTAATGGTAATACTACTTCTCTTGAGGCAACAACAGCAAGAGTGAATACATTCGTCAACAGATTTCGTAACAAAAACTCGCCTCTATATCTCTATAGTGGATTCATAGTTTCTGATTCTCAAACCGAAACTTTTTTGGGTATTGCCAATTTAGGAAGTGGAGTCGAAGCCGGCACTTCAGAGATGGCTCGTTTGAACAGAGTAGAATGCTGGAGTCGTCCACCGGATGCAATTTCAACGTATGCAGTTACGGATGCTAATACTACTAATAAAAAAACATATTCTGGCATTGGTACAGCAGAGACATGTACTTTATTGCAATATGCTGCGCGATTAAAACAGGAAGGCTATCAAGTCAATGGTCATCCACTTCAAGCAGTAGTCGCTACGGCAAGAGTGGATAATGAGGGTTCCTGGAAATCTAATGCCAAAGCTGGAATGACATTATACGCCGTTGATGTTGTTTCTGGTTATGGATCATCTTTACGCTATCAATTACGAAAAAACATGTAATTTATCAAAATGTTGTGTAGGAATTAAGTAATTTTTCTGTGTAAAAATTTGATAATATTCTCCGAAGATACATATTTTTTCTGGTTCTTGTTTCAATGTAAATAACAACTATGCAACTAAAATGAAAATAAATATCTCTTTTCAATCAATTATAGTCTTTGGGATACAAGTTGAGTATGCCTTTAAGTAGCTTACGACATTAGTAAAAACGGTGTTCGTGTAAGTGTGGTCGTGGGTTCATCTGAGTGAATATATGGTTGTAGCCACGCCCTACGTCCCATATCTACAATCATGTCCACACGCACATCCAAGATCGATAATTCAGTCGTGATGTGAGCAATAAACCATTTCTGTTTCGTTCGAACACGCAACCAACAAAGAGAATTTATTATTATTTACATAGGTGAAAGAAAAACTCGGCGACGTCTTAATGAGAACTAGAGTGAGTGGTAGGAAATGTCTCGAGTCTCCATATCATAAATAAAACTTTCTGAACAAATAGGAGAGTTATTTTGGTTGATACACATAGAAAATTTTTAGAATTTGTAGTTATCATGGGACTGTAATTCCTTCAGTCTACTCGCTACTTCTGGCGGATAAATAAATAATTCATAGAAAATGAATAATGAGAAATAATTGTCAAATGCATGAAATTTGTAAAGGGTGTGGGTGTAGATGAGGTATAGAGTGTGAGTTTCTCTTCATCCACCCACACCTACACCCTTCTGGTTCTCTTCAGATCGACAGGGATTATTTTCTGATCATCAGACAAGATTGAAAACCTTTTGACAACACATTTGCATATGACAACAGAAAAATCTCAAGTAACAGTTCTTAGAATTCTTTCTTGATTGCATTAGAACACCCGGGTCTTCTGATACGTCTTTCGAACTTTTGGCTAGGGAGTCTTCTATTATAGAAGGGAGGTTACAAGAAGAGTATCTCTCGAAAATTTCACATCGATTTTATTGATTCAAGAAACTTGAAAAACATCAAGAATCATTATAGATTTTGAAAAATTGATTCAGTTTCGCTATTATTTTCAAGAAATAACACAGGCTTCAGAAACTATAGCACGACGCATTGCTTCTTCTCTTTGTCCTTGTGGACTAAATCGATGAGCGAGTCGTCGCATGGGCTGATAATAATTCCTCTGCATCCATCCATTTGTATATGCCATGATTCTTTGTATTTGACGCGTTCGACCACCGATGACAATTGATTGAACCACCAGTAATTGATTTTTAACTTGACCAATCTCATAAAATTGATTAGAAGTATTAGAACACAGTTTACCATTTTCAAAAAACACTTTATCTTCTAATTCATCTGGTGATAATGTTGCTGCAAGTATAAATATAAGTTTATCCTCTTCATCCGACATATTCATCCAATTAGAATAATTTCGGTATCTTCGAATATTATTATCGTCATAATCAATTACAGTACATACGCAATCAAGGTAATACATTATTTTTGCTATATCTGCATCTGGAACAGAAACCGTTTGGCCAAACTTCTTGACATCATAATTTGTATTTTGAAACATAGCCATAATTATGAGATAATTGGAATAAAAAAAAATGTTGTAAAATGTTTTAAGTCTGAAGGTGTACGTATAGTTGCATCGCTATATATTGAGTCGGTAAAGGAAGAGAGAATTTTTTTTGACTTCCGAGTGTGTCCTGAAAGAAAAGAAAGGAAGTAAAAATGATTCTCGCTTTTTCTACAAGAAATTGATGAAAATGTTGGCAATCTCCCACTAAGAACGCAGTAGACAAAACAATAAGTACAGATTCGGTGACAAAATTTCAAAAATATCTATTTGTAATGAAATTTGACTCTTGCACATGTTTATTTTTTTTTTTGCAAAGAAAATGCAACAATTCACGAAATTTTTTTGACTATTTTTAATGTAAAGAACAAATATTGTTGCAAAATAGAAGAAATATAGAAAAAGAGGGTGCAAGTGTGAGGTGTGCATGTGAGTGTTGATCCATGCTACATCCACACCTAATTTCAACTATTCATTAATCAAATGAGTTGAAGTAGTCTACTTAAAAACTAAACTAAACGTTGATAAATCTCAATCAAAGCTTCAACAAAAATTTCAAAATGGAACCTATCAAGAATCAGCTCTTTATTTTTACTCAGACCAGTTTCTCTTGTTGTATTAATGGAAAGGTGAAACAAAACTAACTAGTGTGTTATTTAAGTCTCGTCGAGTTCCGTAGATTTATGTATGAGAAAGTAGTTCATCATCAGCAATTGATAAGTCTTAAGACGTTCCTAGCTGGCACATCTGTTAATGGATAGAGTATGGTTTTATGACAGATAATAACTAGGTGGATATTTGACAGAAAATTACGCCAATTTTTTTTTTGATTGATTTGTAGTGAAAATATCTCCGATCATTTGCTATCATACAGATTGATCATGGAAGTTTTTGAACATTTGGTTTTCCTAGGTTTGGGTGCGTTTTCTGATCTTCTGTTCGTCCACACCGACACTCAAGATAGTTTAGAATATTATATTGAGGCTCATGAAAACAACTAATTTTGGTAATCAAAAGAGTGACCATTCGATCATCAAATTTCGAGAATATCTTGCCGAGATCTTTCTGCCTCTTCCCTACACACCAATGAATTGATACCGACTGACTTTGAGCTAAAGTTCTAACTATTACGATTGACATTGTTCGAATCATCATTACAATTTTTCAATGAAGATATCAACAATATCGATTGAAAAGATTCTTTTTCCTTTCTGTCATTTATCGACTCGATCTGCTCCTATAGGATCCTTGCTGGTAAATAATTACATTCTCTGTTTCTTTTTTCTTCACTTTATGAGGCATGTTGCTTCGACACACGCACAGCGAAATTTTATTGTCATTTACTGTTGTATCGCGCACGTGTAACGTGAAATAATACGACAAATGAGAAAGGAAAGAATAGAACAACAAATACTTGTCTGCCATCTGTCTTTTGATAAGAGACTATATTTTTTTGATTTTCTTGCTCAGTTATACGACGATTTTGTCCTACAAAATATTTTTTCTATCTTCGTGATAAACACTATAACATCATTCAACATCTCTCTCTAATAGAATTGTTGAATCGAACGGATATAGGAATGAAGGATTGCATAATCTTTTCACCAATCTACAGTAATATCAAGATAAAATCATCATAAGTGTCATTTGGCAAAAGCGTGTGATATGGATATTGCGCAAGAAAGAGAAGAGATACGAACGAAGTGTCACTGTTGCACAAGAAAGTACTTCCGAGGAAGAAAAAAAAATATTTTTATAAAAAATCTGAAACCATCGAATATATTCATAGTCTCGAAAGTACAACACCAATACATAACATGGCCTATATGCAAAGAAACCAAATCGGTTTGCGCGACAAATCAGTGACAGTTACGATTCCTGATAATGACGTAGCTCGACTCATGTATTATCTCAATTGTGTGTGTGAAGCGATTGAATATAACGATAATAATATTCGTCGTTATCGTGATTATAAGAATTGGTCATCATTATCTAACGAAGAGGTTCGCGCCTTGCTCGTATTCTGTCTAACACTCAGTCCAGATGTCTTCAACAACAAAGTCTTTTTTCAGTCGGACGCATTGTGTGGTGATTCAGGAAACAAGTTTTATGAAATAAGTCAAGTTCGTCATCAATTATTGGTTGTTTTTAGATTAGGTTTTGTACTTAGAGTTCGATAAGAAAAGATGTTGACCTTTCTTCTTTATTTATTAAGAAAAATGTTCGTCCGTACAATAGTTATGCACGCACATATATATATCAGATGAAGAAAGAAGAGGAGAAGAAAGGCCACAAACAAAAAAGAAAAAAAAACATAGAGAAAGGTGTCGTTCCTAACACCCTTTCCCTTACAAAAAAGTTTTTTGTTCACAAAATACTTTTAGCCTTTTACATATATAAAAATATGAACGAGAGAAAAAGAAAAAAAAACTTCAAAAGGAGAACGAGAGAAAAAAAAATCTAATATAAGTATCAGTTGGTGAAAGAACAGGTTCAGAATATCACATAGAGAAAGAAAAAAAATAATAACAAATAAACAGAAAAAAAGTTTTTTTTGTTTTGTTTTTTTTGTTTTGTTTTACTATTTGTTTTTTTTGTTTTACTATTTATGTTGTGGTTATAGTTATTTACGGTGATGTGGATGATGATATTGATGAAGATATTGGTGATGATGTTGATGGTGATGTTGATGGTGATATTGATGATGATGAGGTCGATGATGATTTTGATGATGAGATTGATGATGATTTTGATGACGATGTTGATAAATTTGGTAATGTTTTCGATCAAATATATTTTCAGGTATTTGATGTTGGTACTGTTGTTGAATCAAGGAGTTCTTTACACCAATAACTACTATGCCATCAACGTCCTTGATGTGTATGTAATTGATGTGATGTTGTTTTAGAATTTTCTTGATTGATGACATTTTAAATTTATAATACATCGAACGAGTAATGTAATGTTGGTAACGACGTGTTCGATGGGTGTTGTTTCGTTTTTTATTTCTTCGTTGTCGTGTTGCCGTTGATCGTTGACGGTGAGTTCTGTTACGTTTTGTTGTTGGTAATTTTTCTTCAATAGCTGCAGCTGGTGGATTTTCATCATTATCATTTTCTTCTGCTGGTTGACCTTCTTGATTATTATCAATTATAATTTCATCATCTTCATCACTAATTAATTCAGCATCATTGACCAACTTTTGACCAGTACATTTTTGTTCATAATTTGAGATTTTTCCTTTTTCGAGTTGCTCATTCGTAGCTGGTGCAATGAGTTGATTGAGATAAATTTCATCATCTGATATTGGTTGTAAATCATCATCATTTAAATTAAATAATTTTTGTAAATTAATATTTTTTTTAGTTTTTTTAGTTTTTTTATTTGATGAATTAATTTTTGGAAGTGGCAATGATTTAAATGAGATAAATAATTCAACAACATTTGTATCTTTTAATTGTTTGAATGTCCAATATTCTAGAACTGGTGTGGGTGTGGGTGTGGGTGTCGGTGTGGGTGTGGGTGGGGGTGGGGGTGGGGGTGTGGGTGTGAGTGCCAGTATTAAATAGAGGAACACCCCCACACCCACACCCACACCCACGAGACGATGAGGTACATTTCGTTCAGTTAAAATAAACATTGCAAAATTCAATGTTCGTTGGCGCAGCATTTTCTTTCTATAGTAATACCTCCAGCGCGTGAAAGGTGGACTTTGCATTGTTTGCCCAACATAAAGCCAGCGAAGT